GAACGGCTTTGCTGTACAAGTGTTTTAAACTTTTATTAGACAACAACTAATTTTTTAAATTTTGATACTTTTATACTCTGCTTTTATAATTTGGAAAAATATAGCCAGGATTTTTTTTTAACTTTTATTATTAAAGCAATTTCTTTTTATTCTGAAAGTACATGTGATAAATAGGGTCGGTTTCCCCTTTATGTTTACTTAAGAATGTTCTCCAAAGTCTTTTTATAACCCTAAGAAAATAAGAGTTCACTAAACCCCTTCTGACATGTATATATCATTTTTATTTCTTTAGGAAAACACTGAAGACCTCAAGCAGATGAGACAGACTCTATTTGATGCCGAAACTGTAACTCTTGATGCCAAGAGAGAATCAGCCTTTCTTAGAAGTGAAAATCTAGAGCTGAATGAAAAAGTGGTAAATTATCTTCATAATATTTATTGTAAGGCAGTTGTGATGATGATTATTCTGAATTTGTAATGATCTCTCAATAGAAAGAACTTGAAAATGCATGCAAGCAAATGGAAAATGATATGAAGGCCTTTCAAAGGCAATTGGAGACAAAAAAGAAAATGCAAGCTGATCTAGAGAAAGAATTACAATTTGCTTTTAATGAAATAGGAAAATTGACCTCCCTTGTAGATGGCAAAGTTCCAAAAGGTACTGTTTCATTTTCAGTTCATCTCTTTGCAAACCTAGCTTGCTATAGAAATGTACATAAAGGATTTGACAACTGTATATTTCAATGCTTAGAAATATTTTATGCTTTGATTTTTTAATAGTTTATATAAAGTTTCTGATACCTTTTGCTATCAGTATTTATAAAATTTCCATCAGTTTAAAGTTTTAAAAATTACTTTTCAGAAAAACTGAGCCATATCTAGAAGAAGATAAGCCAACATTAACTTTTTTCAAATTCTACTGTAACTGTTTAGTTTCTCTGATTATGAGTTTAATTTGTTGTTGTTGTGCTAGTTGCCCTTGTGTTAATCACAACACATAGCAACCCTGTGAACAATGTATCTAAACCTTGTCTTGTCTTGTGCCATCCTTATTATCTCGCATATAATTGAACCCTTTATACAATCACTGTGTCAATCCATCTCATGAAGAGTCTTCTCTTTCTCTGACCCTCAGCCTTTGCACACATGATGTCCTTCTCCAAAGACTGGCCTCTCCTAACAGTATGCCCAAAATATGTGAGATGAATCTTTACCATCCTTGCCTCCAAGGAAGACCCTCACTGTACTTTCTTGAAGACGTTCGTTTATCCTCTTGGTGATTCATAGAATATTTAGTACTCTTCTCCAGCACCACAACTCAAAGCCATTATTTCTTCTTCTGTCATGCTTACTCATTGTCCAACTTCCAGATATATAACAAGTAATTGAAAAGGCCATAAATTAAATCAGACACTCATTAGTCTTTAATCTGACATCATTGCTCCTTAATCACAGCAAATTTACTCAGTGACTGCTGGTATCAAGGGTAGTTTTGGTGGATCCAAGCAAGATGAAATCATTGGCCATGCTACTCTTTTTTCTCCATTCATCATGATGTTGCCTATTGGCCCAGTGGTGAAGATTTTTATCTTCATGATGTTGAGATGTAATTCATTTTGAAGGCTGTAGTCTTTGCTCTTCTGCAGTGAGCATTTAATGTCTTGTTCACTTTTGGCAAGCAAGGTTGTCTTATCTGCAAAAAGCATTTTGTTACTGAGTCTTCCCTCAGTACTCATGCCCTGCTTTATAAAGTTTAGCCTCTAAAATTATTTGCTTGGCATACAAATTGAAGAGGTCTTGCCATTTTCTTTCCTTAATTTTAAGCTATCCAGTGTTCTATTGCTCTGTTCATTCGACAGCTTCTTGGTCTACATACAGGATTTGCAAGAGCACAATTAAGTGTTCTGGGTTTCCCATTCTTTTCAATGTTATCCACAATTTGTTGTGATTCATATAACCAAATGCCCTTGCATAGTCAATAAAAAACACAAAAACATCTTTCTGATATTCTTTGCTTTCAGTTAAGATCCATCGAACATAAGCAGTGATACTCATGGTGCCACAGCCTCTTCTAAATCCTACTTGAATTTCTGGGAATTCTCTGTCATTTTACTGTCCCAGTCATTTTTGGGTGACCTTCAGCAAGATTGTACCTGTATGTGATATTAACGACATTGTTCAGTAGTTTCATGTTGTGTTGGATCACCTCTTTGTGAATGGGAAGAAATGTGGATCTCTTCCAGTCAGTTGGTCAAGTAGTTGTCTTCCAGATTTCTTACCGTAGACTAGTGAGCACATCTATGGCTTCATCTTTTTGTTGAAATACTTCAATTAGTGTACTATCAATTTTGGGGTCCTTATTGTTTCCCCCCTATGCCTTCAGTACAGCTTAAACTTCTTTCTTCATCACCATTGGTTTCTTTTATTTTTCTACCTTCTGAAATGGTCCTGTGCCAGCCATTTCTTTCTGGTATCATGACTTTCTTTTTAAAAAAAAAAAAATTATTAAATTTTATTAGTTTTAATGAACATTTACAGAGATT